ATCTATCTATCTATCTATCTATCTATCTATCTATCTATCTATCTATCATCTGCAGAGAAAGAGAAGGAGAGTTCACACTCAAAAGAGCCAGGATTTTATTATATACCAATTACTGTACTTCACTAAACTTGCATTTTGACATCAAGAGAAAAAAATGAAAATTTTGTTACCTAGAAGACAGCATTTCTCATCTCACTGCTTCTGTTCGATGAGATTTCAAATCTTTTCAATGTAAGATTCCACCCCCCCACCCCCAACCCATATTTCAACCATCAGTAGTTTTGCACCCACTCAATTTACTGCATTGCAACTGCCACAGGAAAAGGCTTTTCCTCGGATTTTTTAAAATATACTTCCGTTGTGTTATTTATGCATATTCATTTCATTTATTTAACCATTAAATAATTGACAGGTTCTTGGTGATTATACATTATCCTAATTTCCTTATTTCCTTGTTCTCCAGAGCAAAGAATAAGTACAAAAGTCAGTAGAACCATAACCAATACATACACATTTATTCAATAATTAAATACACACATTTATTCAATAATTAAATAATAGATATCAGAATACTCTTTCCCCAAATGTTCACCCCCAAATCCATATGTATCCTGTTTACCTACTATACAGCTTGAGATAAGTACTTCTGCATATATCTTCTTAATTATTGCTTTCCATATTATAAGATATATGAATTTTTAAATTATCAGATAAAACATGTTTTTAAGCATGAAACAGGATCGTTGACTCAACTAGCTACACTTTTTGAAGAAGTTGTGCGGAAAAGCTTTAAAATATTATACTAATAGGTACATGTTTTTCAAAAGAAATTCTAGCAGACTAGATCAGGGAGAAATGTTCATTGTCATGCTCATTTCAAGTTATATAGGTTAATAAAAAGACAAATCGTCCCACTTTCAGTTCAACTATTATAATCCAAAAGGTTCCTTTCAAAAAGTGATAATGATAAAAGCAGGCAAAAATTCCAGACTCAGTTGCAGGGTATAAAAAGAAAAGAAAAAAATCCTGAAAAAATACTAAAGCATAGTTAGCAATGAATAAATGTCTATAGCAAAGTAGCAGAAATAAAGTTTTCTTTTCTTCAGGTCAAAATGGTAATAGATGGTAATAGATAACAGGAATTAACAACACATTACTCATACAAACTATATGATTGCAATTGGAATCATACAAAGTACACCAATGCATGAAAAGTCATCTATACGTAACAATTACTGCATGTACAATATAAATTCCATCACCATATGCTAATATACTGTAGTTCTGTATCACTGCTAACACTGCATGCAGGATGCAAGAAATATATATGACAAGTATATCAAAGTTTAATAATCACTTTGCACAGACTTTTTCAAGATACCAGATAACCAGAAGCTGCTAAATAGCTTTCAGGTGACCTATCTTGGGTTTTGTTGTATTTAATCCTGAAGTGTCAGCAACCAGAAACCTTAGTTTAATTCTAATCTAGTAAACACCAAAAGTCTGCTCCTGGGAATGAATTTCACAGTTATATGCTAAATAAAGGAGTGAAAATATTTAGGTGCGGAGCAGTAGACGTATTGTTTCCCATCCTGTAGCTAAACAATTAGGTCTGTTTCCTGGAAGAGAAGAATTAAAGACTGCACAGTTGATTGAATTCCAGGATTTGTTTAAAGAATGAAGTAGGACTATTGAAATGCTACACATTTTATATCTCAGATTATTTTCCAGGTTCCTATTTCTTTGAAGCTTGAGCTATCGAGTAATTTTTCAGGCCCAGGAACACATTTAGATTATTGAGATTATGTCACAGGTGTTCCCATCAGATTGTTATGGAGCATAGCTTAAACATGAAGGAAAGCTGTAAATTTGTTCTTTTCGTAATAAGGCTGAGTCAACCTTCAGCTGTCAAGATCGAACTCCTGGCAGCAGACAAAGTTAGCCTGCAATACTGCATTCTAACCACTGTACATCATCCTCTGGTCTCAATTTTCTTTACAAGCCCTTAATTATCTTTTTCTTCTTTATCTTAGCAAGTTGACACTGTAATTATCCATTATCTTTATTTTCAAAAAAATGCCTGAGATTATCTTCAATAGCATTACAATAGCACTTAGACTTATATAGAGAGGTGGGATTCAAATTTTTTAACAACCGGTTCTGTGGGCATGGCTTAGTTGGTGGGTGTGGCTTGTAGATCATGTGACTGGGTGGGCATGGCCAACTCGACGTCAATCACATCAAGGGGCGCTTCTCGTTGCCTGGCCTCTCATGACAGTGGGGATGCTGCAATGGTCGTAAGTGTGAAAAATGGTCATAAGTCACTTTTTTCAGTGCCATTGTAACTTTGAATGGTCACTAAATGAACTGTTGTAAGTCAAGGATTACCTGTACAAAAATACAAAAAGCTTCTTTGCTTGCAAAAAGCTGCCCTAAATACCAATCATTAGATTAAAAATACCTGCAAGCCAGAATTACAAATCAGGCAGGGTGCCAGAGCACCTTGAGGAATTAAAATAGTTAAAATGCAATGATAACTATCAGCAGCCAACTCTTGCTCATAAAGTGAAACCCTTTAGCAGAGAGGTCATTCAAGCTTTCCAGAAAGAGCACACCTAGGAAAAGCAATCCTTAGATTCATTTGCACCACTTAAAGATACCAGCTGGTCTCACTCACAAGATATCGTAAGGAAATTATCCAGATTTAAGGAAAGGTCACATGCCCCCCCAGAAAGGCAGTAAAAATATCAGTGCCAAGCTTGTATCCTGCCTCTTGGAAGTATACCCCAAAAAGACAGTGCCAGATACCACTAAAGCAGTGAAGGAGGACCCCCTCCCTAGATAGAAAAAGAAACCATAAGGCAGGAAAAAATTCAAACACAATACAAATAATTAAATCACAACAGTAGCTGTTGCTTGTTAAACAAATTACCAGAACAAATAGACACAAGAACTAGCCAGGTTTCTCAACCCAGTTTCTTTTCAGGGACAGAGATTAATCTTTTTCCTTCCAAACAAAGCTGAATAGGGAAAATTATCCCATGAATAAACACAGGATTAAGTGTCACAGCAAGCACAGAATTAAACTTCACCAAAAACCAGTTTTAAACCAAAACTCAGAAAAGGTATGTAAACTCATGTTTGAATGTCAATCTTTCTAGCTAGCCAAGAAGTATTTCCAGGGGAGTATTTCCTCCCAACAGCAGTGTAAAAAGCTTAAAATAACCCTTCCCCTTTAAGAAAGTATCACGAAAGAAAAAAAATCCTCCTTCGGAGACAGTAAGTCTAGGCATACTGCCAAGAATGTAATAAGGGTGAAAAAAAACAAAAGGAGATTTCTTCTAACTACCAATTCTCCAAACTGTTTAGAAAGTTAACAAAGGATTCTATAGAACCAGTCAGAACTGGTAGAATCCCACCCCTGTTTATATATCACTTTATATTGCTTTACAGCACTCTAACCCTAACTCTAACCCCAACTCTAACTCTAAATCAAGTATCAAACTTGATTTCATTGAGGGCCACATCAGTGTTGTGTTTGACCTCAGGGGGCCTGAGGGCATGGCCAGCTCAGCATCACTGGCATTAGGGGCACCAGTGGTGGCACAGATGGGGCTGGGAGGATCCACTTTGCTAATAGTTTGTTTTGCTAGCATTCTACCAGCAAAAATGTAGCTCAGGAGACCCACACTCGCCCCCCTTGATTCTGTTTTAGGCTCGGGGCGGCCTCCTACAGCCCTCTGCCAGTGAAAACGGACCTTGAGGGGCTGCATTTGGCCCTCCTGAGCTCCTTTTTCACTGGCAGAGGCACTGCAGGCTGGTCCTTCGCTGTTTCCAGAGTGGCCCCACAGGCCAGATCTAAGCATCCTGTGGGTCAGATCTGGCCCACAGGCCTTGAGTTTAACACCCCTGCACTAACTAGGTTAAAGTGTCAGCATATTACCCCAACAATCTGATCCTCGTTTTTGCTTAGTTTAGTTTACTTTATTGTCATTGCACCTCGTACAACAAAATTCAACATTATCTTCAGTGTACATCATGACCATGAAAATAAACACAAACACACATCCTTCACACTCCACACATTGAACCAAAAAACCCCAACACTACACCAACAATACAGTAGAATTCAAAAGAAACACTGCCCTGGGATAGAAGCTGTTTTTCAGTCTATTTGTGCTTGTTTTTATTGTTCTGTACCATTTGCCAGATGGTAATAGTTCAAAAAAAGGGTTCCAAGGATGAGATGGATCTTTTAGAATGTTTTGAACTTTCTTAAGGCAGCGGGAGTTATAAAGCTCTTCCAAAGAGGGGAGAGGGCAACCAATGATCTTCTGGGCAATGACATTAACCCTCTGGAGTGCTTTCCTATCTGCCTTGCGTTGCAAAAAGAAGTGACTGTCAGGCTGTAGATCACCGCACTCACTTCAGAGAAGCATCATCCCAAGCAGCAGCACACTCACACAGGCACGCATATGCATCCTGCAACTTGTCCAAAGTGGCTGGAAAATATGGTTCTTGGGCACCCCCAAAGATGCTTGGCAGGAAAATATGGGGACAAAACTCCTGCCCCGCATCACCACGACAGCACGTGCTGAATCATTGCAAAGCTGGGCAAGGCGGAGAGAGGACAGCAGACAGAGCCAGATGGAGCCGAATCTGTCTCCTTCCTCTGACTCTCTTTCGTTGCCTGAGTGGCGGGAAACAGCAGGCAGCGATGTCCGGCTTTGTTGGTGCTGGACACGAGAGAGAGAGAGAGAGAGAGAGAGAGAGAGAGAGGAGAGAGAGAGAGGAGAGAGAGAGAGAGAGGCGCTTAGGAGGTTGGATGGGAGAAATATTCAGACTGAATGGTGAAGACACAGATGCTGATAGAGACAAAGATCCACGAGAGGAGTATGAGAGGCAACCTAAAAAAACGAATAAGAATTGAAGTATTAAAATGAACAAGATATGATGGACAGAAAGGATTTTTTTCTTCTTTTTTCTAATATAATGATGGCCTGATTAAAAACTAGAATAGAGGTAGAATTAAGAATACACACCTTTATATAAAGCAATAAGATGGAAATATTGGAAGTTGAAAGATGATATTATTAGGTATGTTCAGTGGTGCGATTCAATTGGTGTAACAACTGGTTTGGCCTCGTATGTACATGCGTGCTTTGCGCACGTGCACAGCATTTAGAAAAGACTATTTTTAGCTATAATACTTACCTTCTGCTGCAGCCCTGGTGAGTAAACACTGCTCCGCAAATGCAGAGACGTCCATTGTAGGGTATAGAATGGAATCTCCCATATCTGACCATTGTGTCAAGTTGTTCGAATCTCATTCACATAAATATCTCCCTATGATGTTTTGGCAGTTGTAACTTTTTATAAACATATTAATTATAGCCTTACTCCAGGAGGGGTGGAAGGAGAAAGGAAGAAGGAAGGAAGACAGGCAGACAGGCAGGCAGAAAGGGAGGGAGGGAGGAAGGGAAGGAAGGAGAGAGAGTTGGTGAATGAATGAGTACATTTTCAAGAATTCATTCAAGGCATTGGCATTCATTACAGCAACCTTTCAAAGACAATACTTAAAGTAAATATGAATATTTACAAGACTAAGTCTTGTGTTTGAGAAGATCTTTTGTTATGAATAACAAAACATCTTCTCAAACACAAGACTTAGTTAATTCAGGCAATATCTAGACAGAAATCAGAGAATGGCATATTCCAGGTTTTTGCCATGCATATCATGAGGGAAAACCTCCATCACATGTTTCATTATAATATGGTTTATTCTATATTCCTCTAAACTTGTTCTGAAGATTGTTTGCTTTCTAAATACCATTCCTTGCCTTTAGCGCTAATCCTCTCAGCATTCACTGAGCACACACATAGCATATTGTACAGAAACCTACAGTTTAAATAATTAGGTGTTTATTCTCATGTTGGTACAGAAACCGAAGGATGGTTGAGTGCATGACTTTTTATTTCCCTGCTTTTAAATACATACAAATAGTAAAAAGGATGAATATTTAAGACCTTTGTATTTTAACAAGAAAATTGATATCTAGTTGTACCACTATTTGTTTGGATATAAGTTTCTGATACTGTTTTTTGTCTTTTTCTTCTTAAACTCTGTCTTCTCGATAGTGGCAGATCTCATGTATTTTGGGGTTCACCTTTGGGTACTGTACTTGCTAAGGCCTTTATGTGAACATATAATTTTGAGCCTTTTCATGTTGCTGGTCAAACAGAAAAAGGATTCATCTGAACAACTTTCCAGAAGTCTACATTTAACATTTTTATTCAGAAAATATTATCTATCAAAGTCTGTATTTAGTACCAATTGAAGGAAACTTTGTTTGGTACTTCATCAGATATATCTGATGACATTCCAGGCTCCCTAAATAAAACCTGCAAAATAACTGATAATTACAATTTTACAAGATTGCAATGCAAATTAAGTATAATTAATATCCAATTCTTTCTTTTTTAAGACCATGTATATTATATGTTTCTGAAATTAACCAATACTTTTAATGTGCATGAATGCTCTTGAATGGAATTGTTTTAAACTGCATGATTATAAAATTTGGGCAGTTAAACTAAAAAAAATGTTGACACTTATCCAGCACTTTATGTAGCTATCATCCTAAAGCATACAATTTGAGCATTACCTTAATTTACAACATAGTATTATAGAAGTTTATCTAAATAAATTCAAATTGGCTATTCACAAAGATAGTGGAATAGCAGATATTACGGGGTATGTTCCAACAGAATAACGTATCAGTGGCTTTAGGGACCAATTGTGGAGTTCTTGGTGTTCTTGGTTGTTTACTTATAGATGTTTCATTATCCAATTAGGTAATATCATCAGTTTCATTACTCAACTAGCATTGATGAAGTTACCCAGTTAGGTAATGAAATGTTTGAGGGCAAACAAACAAGAGCTCCAAACTATAAATATGTGCTTCTTGTTTTTATTTGATTAATCTGTATATACCAAATTTTTCGGTGTATAAGACGCACTTCCCCCCCAAAAAAGTGGGCGGAAATGTCTGTGCATCTTATACATCAAATGTTGCCGAAGCCCCACCCACCTGCTGGCCCCCACCCTTCAGCCTCTGTCTCCCAGCAATTTGCCTCCTTGCAGCAAACAGGAAACAGCCTGGTCAGCTTCAGCACAGCCTGACTTAGCATGAGCAGTTGATTGTCAGTTGGATCTGCCTCCCAGAATACCAACGATCAGCTGTTCCAGTCTGCAGGGATCGCCACCAGCTATCACCGCCTCCCTGCGCCCCATTTTACAGCCTCCATGTACCCTGTTTTCAGCTTCGGGAAGTGTGGAGGCCAAAAACGGAGTGTGTGGAGGCTGAAAATGGGGTGCACGGAGGCGGTGATAGGCGGTGGCGATCCCTGCAGACTGGAACAGCTGATTGTCAGTATTCCGGGAGGCAGGTCCAACCAACAATCAGGCTAAACCAGCTCATGCTAAACCAGGCTGTGCTAAAGCTGACCAGGTTGTTTGCTGTTTGCTGCAAGGAGGCAAATTGCTGGGAAGCAGAGGCAGAGGCAGATTTTTCCCCCCCTTTTTTTCCTTCCCAAAAGCTAGGTGCATCTTATAGTTTGAAGCAAGGGTGAGATTCTACCTGGTAGGACCAGTTCTATAGAACCGGTTGTTACAATTCTGCAGAGTTTGGACAACCAGCAAATCATGCCACTGGCTGGCCTCACCCTGCCCACTCACTCCTTCCCTGGCATGCATGCCATCAAGCTTACCTGCATTTGGTAAGTTGCTATTTTTCCTTTTTTTCCCCAGGTGTTCTGCTGTGCCTGGAGATTTAGATTAGCTAGAAAGCAGGAAATCATTGGATTTCTTGCTTTCTAGCTAATCTAAAAGCAGAGCTTTTAGACTTAGGAGTGAAGCTTAGGACTGAAGCTTCTATTTTTCATTGCAGACTCAGGTAGAAGTTTGCAGAAAGATAGAAATGAGTGAATCTGTGATTCTGTGAGCAACTCAATCTGTCTGCCTGCTTTGTCTGATTTTGGGTAAAAGTTGCTCTTTTTTTAAATAAAAAATCAATATTTACATAAATATTTATAATATTTGCATACAAGCCACACCCAGCCAGTCACATGACCACCTAGCCATGCCCAGTCAGCAAACCATGCCCAGCCAGTCACATGACCACCAAGCCACACCCACAGAACCGGTTGAAGAAATTTGAATTCCATATTTTTGCAAATTCTATTCCTATTATTTTACTATTAAAGATGAGTTCTGTTAATCTTAAACCATTACAAATGAACAGATAAATGTACATGCTTAACTCCAGTGAAATCAATGTTGAATTGAATTTTTACATGTTTAAGTTTTAGACAGATTCAATACACATATCGCCCTATAAGTGTCCAACAGAAATAAATGGATTTAATTTAATCTCATTGGCTAATTTAATTATGTATAGCATTTATTTTATGCTGACATACTAATACATTTTAATGTAAGTAACAAAAAAAAACATAAAAACTGATAGTGTTTGTAATTTCATTCCACTGAGAAATGTTCTGAAAATGCTGACTTGAAAACAGGCATTTCACTTTAAAATATTAGTAATTATTTAGGATCTTAATAAGTACTGTATATATTCTAGTCCTAACAATTGAAGAAATACCAAAATTACTGTTTTAAATAGAAAAAAATTCCTTACTCTCTCACAATGTAAATATTATACACAGAGAGAATTATACATCTTTACACATTTAGACAAATATTGTTTGATAAAAGAAACTAAATGAAATAATTTTTAAAATACATTTACTACTCACATACTGTTGAAGAGCTCTCTGTAAGTTTCATCACCTTTTCCTTCTGACATCAAGCTATCCAATTTGTCAATCAGTTTTGCTTCCACCTGTAATTTACACATAAAAACATTTGGAGGTTTTAAACCAAACTCAAGATAAAATCTACAGAGGGACAAGTATTTTCTAGAAGTATGTTCCCTTCATAATGGTTAGATTAAGAGTTTAAAAAGCTAAGGGAATACATTACTACATTATTTTGTCTCCTTGTATAATTGAAATAATTTCATAGTAATAATCATATAAAATGTTAGCATTTCCAATTCTTGAGACAGCTATTCATGTAGGCGAACAAATAAATAAAAACAGACTACCTAAGCCCTCTGCTTGGAATCCTCTCCACGTCTACTAATAAAAAGACACATTGTATTTGCCTCAGCATAAAAACTTTTTCAATCGCTTCGGTCGTTCTTTCTCATTATAATAACCTGTATTTCTTTCTACGCTATTTAACAGTCTGATACTATAATCTAACCCTATTCTCCAAAAAAGCTTGGTGAGAATAACAGAATAGAATAACAGAGTTGAAGGAAAGTTGGAGGTCTTCTAGTCCAACCCTGTTCGCTGCTTAATCTCTTCTGTCTTCACTTTTAACTTTACTTTGAGTCTTTTAGGGTGTTCTCTCCAAAAATAGTAAGTAGGAATTATCTCACCAAACCGACCCACTTCCTCTCCAGCTTTCTTCTGTTCTGGCGCTGTCCCAGCTTCAGCAGCTTTGATGGCTGCCTCTCCACCACCGGAAAAAAGAGCTTCTCCTGGATCTACCAGGGACTTTGCAGTGTCCCTGGGATTGACAGGTTGTGCCCTTCTCTATAACTATCTCTATGGGACTGTTTAGGTCCAAAAGGACCGTCCAGCAGAGAAGTTATTGACGGTGATCTTGGAGCTTCAAGATCATGCGTCGTGCCACCGCCATGCCAGCTCCGCCCCCCAAATGTTTGGTTTTTTTTTTATTAAACAATATACAGAGTGAAATGGGATAGATGTGAAAAAAAGGGAAATTATGATAAGATTATTAACACAAGTTTAATGAATTTATAGACTACAGCTGAATTGAAATATGAGGATTGTTGTAAAGAGAATAATATCAGTCTTTATGATGAATTGAATAGATTAATTTTTCTTTTTGAAATTATAATTATTTTATAATTAATGGGGAAACTTGCAGAATCTGACTTGAAAGGTATATATGCAATGCAGTTGATAGAAGATTATTGTTATTAATTTCTTAGTTAAATAAATATTGGGATTTAAAGGGGATTAATTAAATGATATATAAACTATAGGGGCGGCACACTCTAATTGGTAATTGTGGGGGAAACTTTTTTGAAATGTTTGAATTAAAATAGACATTTTGGAATGATGAAATAAGAATATGCGATGAAATTGCAAACTTGATAGATAAAAGCATAAAGTATAATGAATATAAAGATATGAGAGTTATTTAAAGTTTAAGAAAATAGGTTAAGTAATGAATTGAAAAAATATATAAAATAAGCTGGAGGAAAGTATCTGACAAAAATAATAGAAAATATGTAAAGTAATGGTAAGATATGAAATTGGATGTGAAAGATAGTATGAAATTAAAGTCATGTTTGTATGGAAATGTGATAACCTGGAACCATGCTGTTCACTAAAATAAGAAGTTTTTCACATGTGGAAAACTGAAATAAATTTTTATTAAAAAAAAGAAAAGAAATAAAATTGCAGCCCAGAAGACCCTTTAGTGAGGTAAATTTGGGCCTCCATTGTGGTCGTGAGGCAAGGACTATAAAAGAAATATAATTTCTGCCAGAAAGGCACTTTAGCCAGATAAATTTGGGCCTCCATTGCGGTCGTAAGTCGAGGACCATCTGTACTGAAGTCTAATTTTCTAACCAACAGGCCAAATCAGAGATACAATCGGGGAAGAGGAGATTTTGCTTTCAATGGCAGTCATAAGTTCGAGGACGCCCTCTATTCAGTCTGAATGCCATATTGGCATCCTGTTGGATGGCTGCCCACTCCTACCTTCTCTGCTCTCTCAAAATCTTAACAATGACTCTTTGAATAAAATGTATATTGTCTATCTTTAGAGTTCATTTCTCTCCAAACATCTCTAATCCTAAGTTTCTCCACCATCTTAAAAAAGGATTTTGGAAGTGTCTTTCTACTCTTTTTATTAAGTTTCTGTGTTTTATAGTCCAATTTTGTGTCTACTACAACATTAAAATCTTCCAACATGCAAATATTATCAATTCCAATTCTACTATCTTCTCATGCAACTTTTTGTAAAATTCTTGTTTTTCATTTGGTGCATAAAGTGCTACAAGAAGCATTTTAAAATTATTGTCCATTATTTCCACCATCAAGATTCTTCTTTCTTAGCGGCGGTCTGTAATGGCCGCCACAAAGAAGACGGCAGCTGGGTAAGACTGTGCAGGAGGAAGAGGGAGAAAGTTTGTGAAGAGAAAGTTTTTCTTGGCTGACCCAGGACTATAAGACGTACCTAACATCCTGAAAGCTATGACTTTTTGAAGGATATTCTGTTTCCAGAGGAGAATTTTAAGTGGCAAATTTGAGGTGCTGAAAGGAAAGTTTACTCTCCTTCCCTATGGAATCAAAAAATTTGGCTTCTTGTGATAAGTGGGAAGGGAGAGGACAAAAAAAAAATATTGAGATTTTGTTGGAGGAGATGCCTTGAAGATTTTGAGACTAGAAATTAATTGCAACAAGGCTTTAAAATACAGATTGGGCTTTTCTTTTCTTTTTATTGATATTACCCCAGGAAGAGAAAGTGAGAACTTTGTGCTTTGCTTGGACTGATTGATGACTTTGGGACTGTTCTAACTTTTGAAACATCTTGGTTGTTTTAAGAAGAAGGAAAAAAAGAAAAGATTTACAATGGCTTTACTTGTTGATGAACTTAGAAAGGAATATGAAAAAATAAAGAAAGAAGGCAAGGATGCTGTGAAAGAAGCCTTTCTCTTTTTAGAAATGGCGCTTGCTATTTACCAGCAAACACAACAACAGATGGAGAAAGCAGAAGAAGAAGAAGAAGAAGAAGAAGAAGATGCCATCTTTAATGAATCCAAAAATTTAATTAAGAAAGAAAGGAGAAAGAGAGGAAGGAAAATGAAGGACTTAAGACTTAAAAAAGCACCCAAGAAAGAGAAAAATAAGATGCAAAATCAACACAATGTTGGAAAGCAAAAGAAAAAAGGAATACAACAGAGAGGGGAAGCCAACAAGGCAGAGGTTAGGGGGGGGGGGGGGTAAAAAGGTCAGGTGGGAAAAGAAAGGAAGGGAAAAGAAAGGAAGGGAAAAGGGGGGGAAAAGCCACAAAGGTATGAAACAAGATGGGAAAAAAGGAATTTTTTTAGGGACAAAGGGTAATGTATATTTTTTTAAAAAAAGAAGATTCTGCAAGGTACATAAGATGGTATTGTAGTATTTGTATTAGAAATAGAAAACTAGAATGTTATAAGAATTAATAAAAGATTAAAATATTGAAATGTTTAGTAATGATAGACTTTAAAATTTAATAAAATATTAAAGGGAATGTTTAGAATATTAAGTTTAATTAAAGAGTTTAATTGACTATTGTGTTGATGTTATTATAAATTTATTACTGTAGCATTTGTTTTTGAAATAGATAATTGGAATGTCACAAGATTCAATATTTAGATTTATTATTTAATTATGTATTTAACCATTTTGGATTTATTATTATTTTTTCTTTTTAAAAGTTAGTAGGTAGAATGTACTAAGCAGAATCAGATTGGGTACTAGGCATTATTTTAAATGTTAATTTAGGGGGACGATAGAAAGGCATCATACTCTGATTAGTGATTCCAGGAGAAATTCTTTTTTTTTTCACTATAGGGAATGAGATAAATGGATAATTCGGGAATGGACAAAAGATACAAGTACAATGACTTAAATTAAAATGAATTAAATAAAATAGAATTAAGAAGAGTGAAAAGCGGAGAAGCTATATAGAAGATATAGAATAGTAAATAAGATAGGTAATGGTATATAAGATGAGCATGAATTTAATTGAAGTCCATATAGAGAGAGGTAATCTGGGGCCAAGTTACTTTCTTAAAAGAAGTTTTATGTTTTTGTGTTTTGTGTGTTTATGTCTGTGTGAGAATTAATAAAACCTTGGAGGAATGTTGGATGAGAATAACGGTAATCAAGTCAGAGAGAAATGAAGATGATAACTATAAATTGGATAAATATAGGAAAAAATAATAATAATGAAATTGAATAAGAGTAAAGAGAAATAATGAGAAATTTGCTAAGAGATATTTATATGTTCATATGGAAATGGTGTAAATTAGAATTATGTTGTATAAAATAATGTTTTATTTGACTTGTAAAATTTATAATGGAAAGAGGTTTTATGTATTCAATGGTTAATGATGGTTTGTTTGTCTTTAAAATTAATAAAATTTGTTTCAAAAAAAAAAAGATTCTTCTTTCTTCATCTGTATAGATTAATTTAGCCTTAATTGTATTCTTTATGTATAGCACCACTCCTCTTTTATTTTGTTGAGCCAATGAGGTATATAAATCACCAATTCTTGGATACTTCAGCATTTGGATATGTTGTTTATCTTGGTCGAGAATTGACACGATCTGGATGTCACCGGAAATAATTTCTAATATACAAGAAATTAATATTGAAGCAGTACTTGGGCGGACCACAACCCAATATGGGTCAAATGACAAGGACAAAGGAAAAGATCAAGCTGGACTTTAAATAATGTAATTTTGAAAGAAAAAGAATTCTTACAGAAAATGGAAGAAGAATTGGTGTTCTTCTTTAAAGAGAATCAAAAGGAGGAAACTTCAATGCAGAACTTATGGGACACCATGAAGGCCTATACTAGAGGTTTGATTATAGATTATACAAGAAGAAGAAATGTTAAGAAAAGACAGAATCAACAGATATTAGAGGGTGAATACAAGAAACTTGAGAAAGAATTGCAAAAATGATCATCAAAAAACAAATGGAGGTCATTAAGCACAAAATAGAGTTGACAGAAAAAGAAGAATTAGCTCA